TCCTCCTCCTCCTCCTCCTCCTTTCCTCCTCCTCCTTTCCTACTCCTCCTTCTCCTCCTGCTCCTCCTCCTCCAGTATCATGTGCATCCTCCTCCTCCTCCTCCTCCTCCTCCTCCTCCTCCTCTTCTCCTCCTCCTTCTCCGTCCTCCTCACTCCTCCTCCTCATCCTCATCCTCACCACACCACCACCACCACCACCACCACCACCACCACCATAATAATCAGAATCATCATCATAAGCAGCATCAGCATCATCATCATCATCATCCTCATCATCATCATCATCATCATCATCATCATCATCATCATCATCATCAGCATCACCAGCATCATCAGCAACAACAACAACATCATCATCATCATCATCATCATCATCATCGTCGTCATCGTCATCATCATCATCATCATGATCAGCATCATCATCATCATCATCATCACCATCGTCATCATCATCATAATCCGCATCGCCAGCAGCATAATCCTCATCAGCAGCATCTTCACCATCACCATCACCATCACCATCACCACCACCACCACCACCACCCCCACCACCATCGTCGTCAGCAGCAGCATGATCATCATCATCATCAGCAACAGCAGCATCAGCATCACTGTCATTATCATCATCATCTGCAGCAGCAGCATGATCATAATCAGCATCATCAGCATCATCAGCATCATCATCATCATCAGCATCAACAGCGGCATCATCATCATCAGCAGCATCATCATCCATCATCCCTCATCCATCATCCCTCATCTATCGTCCATCGGCATCAGCAGCATCACCATCCACCATCATCCATCATCATCGTCATTATCAGCATCATCATCAAACAGCACCGTCATCATCAGTAGCATCATCACCAGCATCAGCATGAGCATCATGATCATCACCAGCAGCATCATCCTCATTATCATCATCAGCAACAACAGCTGAATCATCATCACCATCATCAACATCATCATCAGCATCATCATTGTCATCCTCATCCTGATCCGCATCCTCATCATCATCATCATCCTCATCATCATAATCATTAGCATCAGCATCAGCATCAGCATCACCACCATCGCCATCACAAGCATCAGCATCATCATCAGCATCATCAGCATCCGCATCCTTATCATCATCAGCATCATCAGTATCAGCTGCAGCATCATCACCACCATCATCACCATCGTCACGCCATTGCCATCGCCATTGCCATCACCAGAGTCCTGGTCAGTCGCCATCGTCACCGTCAGCGTCATGTGCATCATCATCGAAAGCAGTACCGTCACCTTCATTGTCGTCATCGTCGACATAGTCATCAAACCCATCGTCACAAGCATCATCAGCAACAACATCGTCATCAACCTCACCATCACGAATATTATAATCAGCGTCATCCTCATCATCAGCGTCGTCATCGTCATCAGCATCGTCATCGTCGTCAGCAGCACCATCACCATCAACAGTACCAGCTTCATCATCATCATCAGCATCATCAGCATCATCAGCATCATCATCATTATCATAAGCATCATCGTCACCATCAGTATCAGTATCAGTATCATGACCGTGGTCGTCAGCATCATCACCATCACCACCATCATCGCCACCATCACCACCACCACCACCATCAACAACAATATCAGCATCAGCATCATCATCATCATCAGCGTCGTCATCATCATCAGCATCATCATCACCACCACCACGATCACCATCAACGTCACCGCCATCAGCATACTCATATTCATCCGAATCAGCATACCCATCATCAGCATCATTCACCGCCATCACAATCATGGACCGTTTGGAGGTGCACGGGGTCATCGCGCTGACCGTGGCGCACGGCCGTGCCCTGGGCATTGGATATTCTGACAGAACGCCCTGGGGGCGTAGAGGTTGTTTGCCCACTGGAAAACGATTGCAGCAGGCCTCTTGACGAATGGGCCCCCACTGACTGCTCTCATTGCGCTGAGAGCATCTGGTGTGCCCGAAAATACGCGTGGACCCGTGGACCATGCGCCACAACATCGGGCCGCAAAGCGGCGCAATAGATTCGGTGAGGTCGAACTCGCACCACAACTGCCTGAAGAAACAACGCTCCCGTTGCGCTGAGGACTGGGGACGTGCCCAGAAAGACAGGAGAGACAAGAAACACGACAGGAAGGGCGCGGAGGGCGCGGGGAGATGCCACAACACCAATCCGAGCGGCGGTGCGATATACCCTGAGGCAACGAACGGGCATGGGTATATGAAAGAAAGCGAGCGCCCGCGTTGCGCTGAGGACTGGGGGCGAAGGGGAGGGAGGGGAGGGGGAGGATGGGTCGCGCAGTCGGATGTCGACCAGGGCAATGATCCCGAGAGGGTGCGCGATGCATCGTAGAGCACGGCATAGAATGGCGTAGAAGAGCACGGCAGAGCGTAGCATGTCCTAGCATTTCGTGGCATTGCTGCACCGCTAAGAATGGCATCGCACGGCGGCACAGAACAGAACATGGCATAGCATGACGTTGAAGATCAACGCGTAGCATGGCATAGCATGGCGTGGCATTGCGTAGTCAAGCACTGCATATCCTAGCATTGCAGCTGAAGGCATGGCATCACACAGCGGAACACCACATGGCATTGCAGTGCATGCCGTGGCATGGCATTGGAAATAATAACGCCAGCGCTGCAGCGGGAGCACCATTCGGAACGAGCGGAAGCGCGGAAATGATGCCAACGCTGCAGCGGGAGCACGATTCAGAACGAGCGGAAGCGCGGATATGAGGCCAACGCTGCAGCGGGAGCATGATCCGGAACCAGCGGAAGCCCGAAAATGAGGCCAGCGCATCAGCGGGAGCAATATTTTGAAAAAAAAGATGGCAAAAACCCAACTCCCGGGAATCGTTTAAAAAAAATGCGCGGAGGGGGGCCGAATCTCTTCCGGACGTCATCAGGGGAGAGAGGAGAGTAGTGTTCATATTGTGTAATTGAGGAGGGTGACGGGGGAGGGAGGGAGGGAGGGGGAGGGGGAGGGGAGGGGGAGGAAGGGGAGGGGGGAGGGCGGGGTGCGGCTGCGCGGGCGTCCTGCAGCCCTGGGGCGACGACGGACGACGACGACGACGACGACGACGACGACGACGACGACGACGACGACGACTACGACGACGACGACGACGACGACAACGGCGACGACGATGACGGCGGCGACGACGACGACGACCGACGACAACGACGACAACGACGAACGACGACGACGACGACAACGACGACGATGACGGCGGCGGCGACGACGACAGACGACAGACGACAGACGACAGACGACAGACGACAGACGACGACGACGACGACGACGACGACAACGACGACGACGGGATGACGACCGACGGGATGACGACGGCCGACGCGACACCCACACAAATCGGCCAGAGGACGATTAAAACAACAGTTTCGCCCCCCAGAATTTTACTCGTCTGCCCTACAAAATAAGAAGGCGACACCCTGGGGGGAGTACTTTTTCATCGTCTACCTTCGTCATGGCCCCGGAGGCAGGGTTCGCATTGCACCCCTCCACACATTGCGGCACACCCCATCACGCGGATCGTGCACACAAGGAGCAGCACCTGAAGGCCAAGAGTCTGCCCAAGTCGGCACACCAGTCACGCGAATCATGCCCCAGAAGGAGCTCCACCTATGGCACCAATGGGCAGGTTCGCACGGCGTCCCCCCGCCCAATTCGGAACCTGCCTCGCACGGGTCGTGCCCAGAGGAGGTCTACATGCGGCCTCAGTGGGCGTGTTCAGTTCAGCGCACGCGTGCACGCGTGCTCCGCAGCAGCCCGCGTTCCGCATTGCCCCGCGGCGCGCAGAATATGAAGAGAGACCCGCGCCCTGCGCTACACATGACTGCATAGGGATGGGTCCGTCGCCGAACCAATTGCTTGCGTATCTACGGCAGCCTACCGCTACTGTGTCTGCGTTTGGGGTCAAAGGATTCTTGGATACATGTAATTCGGGATCTGTTGGCATGCTTCTTGGGGCCTCTTGGGGGCCGCTTGGGGGCCCATCTTTGGGGGCCCTTGGGAGCCTCTTGGAGGCCTGCTGGCGGCCCCGGGTGGCCCGCTGGGAGCGGAGGGCTCGAAGTGTCAGTTGGAGCTCCCCCTCTTGGATCCCTCTTGGGGCCCTCTTGGGTCATCTTGGGCGCCCCTTGGACCGTTTTGGAGCTCTCTTGGGCCGTCCTGGGGCCCTTTGGGGCCTCTTGGGCCACATTGGGGCGATCTTTGGGACAGCTTGGGCCGTTTCGGCCGCTGTCAAGACCCCAAAATGCAAATATGCTGAACACGCTCGCCCCTAGGGAAGGGGACACTTTTGGCCTCTCGGGGTCCTCTCGGGGCGCATCCGGGAGCTTTGTTAGGGACGTCTTCTGGGCTTCTGGAGCCGTCTTGCAACAAAATTTCGGGCGTCTTCGGTCCTGTTCTGACGAGCGAACAGCTCACACCCATACCCATAGGGGGGTCGAAAGGAGGAGGACTGGCTATGGGTACGGGTGCGAATTGTCGAACCCTGGGGTAAGCTCCCGTTCGAGCGGGGACCCCCATCCGACAACACGCACCCGTGGCCCCCTCCGTATATGGGTGTGGGCGCGTGTTGTTCGATCGTCATGCCCTTTTTCCCCGCAAAGCAGCTGACAGCCTTGTCGTCAAGCGCCGCACATAACCACAGCGGAGCTGCGCCACGGCGTGGGACAGAGGCCTCTGCACGCTGGCCGCCGAGCAGCAAAGAACTCTCGGGCGTCCTTCGGCCCCATCGGGCCGCTCTGGCCGCTTTCTGGTGGCCTCTATAGACCTGTCTTGAGCGGCGGGGGGGAGGTCCAGGAGGCCCCGGAAGGTGTCAAAAATGTCGCGGGCCAAAAGAGGTAGGTCGGGCTGCATGTCCCCCTGCAGGCGGGTTTTGGACAGATTTAAAACAAAATCAACACATGCACCAAAAAATCTCCTGACTATGTTTTGACTATTTTTTAAATTATCCACCTGTAGAGGGGCATGCCCGATTTAACAAAAGAGAGGGGGATCCGGGAGGATGTCCACGCCCATGCCCGGGCCCCCGCTACCCTGGCACACTATAGAAAAGGCAAAGTCACCGCACCGGCCCCACAACAAAAAACTGCAAGGACCGCGAGTGGTGTGCAAAGAACATGAGCACATGGTCACACAAAAAGTAGATGGCGCGACCAGCACGGCCTGCTTCTAGCTCGCCAGTGGCCTCATCGCGAGCTGCAGCCACGCGGGGCGCATTTTCAGGTGCTCCATGATTGCATTGGCAAGGAACACGGAAATCTGTGGCGCGAGGTAGCTGCACGGTCATGTTGGACGACTGCTCCCTGCGCATGGCGGGTACCTTCTGCGAGGTGGCACACTACTTGAGACGTGCGTCGAGGGACTTCACAGTCGGCCTCGATGAGGACATGAGCTGCGTTCTCTCGCGATCTAAGTCGGGGGTGTTAGCCACTTCGACCAAGCTGCTCGAGGTGCTGGTCGCCATCATCGAAACGAGGGAGCTCAAGCCAGCAGATGAGGCCAGGAATACCGGCATCGGCTACGGTGCCGTGGCTGGCGCCTCTGCAGTCGCCGCAAAGCAGCTGACGAAGGCGATCGAACAGTTGACCCGCATCAGCGAAGTCAGGGGGGCCCACATCACCAGCGCCCGCAATCTGGCTATTTTTCTTGATCGTGCATCTCAATGCAATAACCTCAGCATGCATCTCTTCATGATGCATCGCGTATCGGATATCGCGGAACAACGGGCAAGCACGCTCGCCATATAATTGCAGAGATGTCTGCGGTCAGCACGGGTGACACAACGCTCCAGCAACACGCCCGCAAGCTAGTTGTTAGCGGCTCCATGCCCTCGATCGAGTTTAGCTATGAGGCCGTGGCGGCCTGGCCCGCTATCCCCTTCAGGAAGTGGCGGAGCCAGGTCGCGACGGCGCTTTCGGGCAGGCCCCAGAGAGGAGCATTGCCTTGAACTTTCAGGCCTCAGCTTCGGTGCAGGACGACACCCTTGTACCAGCACCCGAGACCGCCGAGCCCTCGTGGGGGCGTTCACACACAGGCGCCAAGGTTGTCGAGCGGGAGCAGGGTCTTGCTGCACTGGCTGGCTCTCGGCCTGCTGGCGCGGCGCTGCTAGTCAGCAAAGGCTGGGCTGGCACGTGGCCCCGCTCAAGCTGCTGAGCATCGACTTGGAGCGCACGGTCGACCCCGTCACTGGCACTGGCACTGGCACTGGCTCTCGCGATCGGCGCACCCCGTCGCAAGCGGCAACCACGCGCTCGCGGGCCGCGCCGGAGCGGGTCTGCCGAGGGCGCCGTGGCGCGAGGTGGCGGACCACCGCGAGGAGCACGGGGGCATCCCGCCGAGGAGGCGCCGGCCTGGTGACGTTTCAGCGTTCTCTTTGAGTGTCTCGTCGTTTCGCCTCCGCTCTCGGGCCTGGCTGGCCAGAGCTGTTTTCGTGGCGAATCCGTCTAGCGTTCCACAGGATTCGAAATTGTCTCGGCGCCCCGGTGCCCGGATGCCATCTTCCCCGTCGCAGGCGTGCGCTGCAGGCTGCCGTCCGCGAGGGCCTCGGCTCGCGCGGCCGGCGCGCTGTCCCGCGGCCCGCACCGCCACGGGCGGCCGCCGCTGGCCGTGGGCGAGGCGCGCGCGGGCCGCCCCGCCCCTCGCCTCCTCGGCCCGCGGCCGCTGGGGGGCGCGAGGGAGAGGGCCCCGAGCGCGGCACCTCGCGCTCGGGTGCTGCTGGGCAGCATACGACCTTTATCGCTGGCATCCCCGCTATCTTAGATCGAATCAAAACACTAACATACTGCGGATATTTACATTTGCGCACATAAGATCAATGACAAGGATAAAAATGTTAAACATTATACAAATACGTTGTTTTAGTTCTGTTGTTTTAGACTTAAAGATGTAAATATCAATATTTCGTTTGTTCGATGCATTATGTAGTCTCTCGTCAGAAGTGCCCCTGGCCCAAGGTGCCCCCAGGATTTCCAGGGAGGCCCCCACGGCCTCCAGAGAGGACCCCTCACGAGGCCCAGAGGGCCCCAGGGGCTCCAAAATTGAGCGAAAAGCTGGGGGGCACGTTGGGCCAGGAGCACCTTCAGCAACCCCCGACGCGTGGAGGTACCCAGCGCTGCATGGCCCACGCGCCGCCTCGAGGCGAAGAGATCGGCCAGCTTCCAGACCCTCCAGGAGGCCGAGGCGGCCACCACAGGACAAGCAGAAGAGCATTTCGCCTATTCGCGGTGGCTGCTTGCTGCCAGACTTGGGTTCCTTTGATTCTTGTGAAGGTACCACCACTCGTTCAGGCATACCCAGAACGACCATACCCGAAAAGATCAATCTAAACTCGTTTAGGCATGGTCAAAAGCACCAGCATGTAGGATGTCAACGTACACTTCTCACGCACACCCCAACGGCTCCACACGCCCGTCCTGCGTACGTAAGCCTGCGTTGGCCTCCCAGAGCCTGGAAAGAATAGAAGGGAACCCAATGCCAGACCCAGGAGGGCCGAGACGCCTATATATATATATATACAGAGAGAGAGGAGAGAGAGAGAGAGAGGGGAAAAAAAAGAGAGAGGCCCAGACCACATGCCCTCCCAGGCGATCGTCACCCAAAGGGCCGGCAGCGCCCCTGGGGCCATCCCTGTAAGAGCCGTCTCCCTGGACGGCTCGGCACTCCGCGCCTCGGAGAGAGTGGCGGCTCGCGCGAGCGAACTGGGCTGCCGCGGCGACCTGCACGAACGACAGCAAGGCACACCGCCACGTGGGCGACGACCCAAAAACGGGTCTTGCGCGAGATGGCATAGCGACCTTACGCCGCAGCTTACGCGGGCCTCCAGCGCGGCACACCACAATGGAGACGAGGACGCTTACGCGCGACCTTGCGCGGGCAGCTTACGCGCCAGGGTCGGGCGCGGCACACCACAATGGAGACGAGGACGCTTACGCGCGACCTTGCGCGGGCAGCTTACGCGCCAGGGTCGGCGCAGACGACCCCGTTTTTGTTGCGTCTGCGCCGGCCATGCTGGGGCACGGTGCCTCGGTCGGTCCCGCAGGACGGCCACTGGGCCGCTGCTTCTCGACGCTGGCTCGGCCCCAGTCCACGACGACCGCGTGGCAGGTGAGATGCAGGGCGCGCAGTGGAGGAGGGCCTGCAGGGAGCGGTGGATTCGGCTTCGGCAGCTGGTCGGGGACCACAGCTCGGAGGAGCTACAGTTTGAAAACGACCTGTGCGCCATCCTGGACACGGTTGCACAACTTGAAAAGCGAATGTGCGCGGCGCGAAGGCGAGAGGTATATTTTGGAACCCAACCCCTCCGTCCTTGAAGCTGTTGCAGAAGTTTGACTCGAATGTGCGCTGCGCTAAGGCGAGAGCTACATTCTTAAACGAGCCACCCCGATCATTGAGACTGATGCAAATCTCAAGCTTCGGGATCGCGAGTGGTGAGGAAGTCTGAGGCGAAACGCTCGGTCCGCCATGTCGACACGTGTGGGGATGCCACAGGGAGGAGCTACATACAGCACAAGGCACAATTGGAGGAGGAGGAGGAGGAGGGAGGACGTAGGACGGCGGAGGAAGGAGGAGCGGGGAGGAAGGAGGGGAGGAGGTAGGAGGGAGGACGACGGAGGGAGGGAGGGTGGGAGGAGGAGACCTGGCCTCTTTTTGGGGGATCCTGGCTGTCGAGCCAGAACCACGCGCTTGCCCACGCCGCTTTGGGCGCGCCAGGGGTGGCACCACGAGAGGGAGCTCATCCACGGCGGCTCGTAATTACCATCAAGTCTCAAGTCCCTGTCACTCTAATCCTCGACTCGCACCAGGGCCTTGCCCAGGTGGTCGCCCTCGGAGGCCAATTCCTACCAGCCTGGGACAGATCCCTATCCCCATGATTGGCAGCACCTGGTTGGCAGCACCTGTTCTGGATGCCGCTCGTAAGGATTCCCTCTGCTTCTGAGGGCACGTCCTTAAGATTGTCATCGCATATAGGCTTGTCAATCTTATCGGTGGCGAGCTCGGGGGGGAAGTGAGAAGGGGCGGGCCTTCTCAGAAGGCTCGGAAGTCCCCCCGCCTTCTGAGAGGTTTTCTAAGCCTCCCCCGAAGTTACAGAAGACTTCTCAGAAGGCGCGAGGGCTTCTGAGAGAAGTCCCGCCGCCATCTGAGAAGGCGTTCTCCCTGTCACTTCCCCCCCTCGCTCGCCGCCGAATTCCGGCTTGCCAATCTCAGGGATGGGGGCAAGACTTAGGTCGGGCACGTCACCCTACAGGCGGAATTTGGGGGGGGGGGGGGGGGAAATGTCAAAATATGCACAAACATAAAGATAAAAAAAGATCGTCCCCTGACTTTTTTTCCCCAATCAGTGCTTGCACTGAAGGGTTCCTAGCGGAAATTGAAAGATTTGGCGAAAATTTCCCGCCGATTTTGGTAGCCAGATGGGTTCCCGGGTTCCCGGTTCCGGGCTCCCGGGTTCTTGGTTATTGGTTCCGGCCCGATTTCGGTGGGTTCCGGGCTCCCAGGTTCCCGGATTCCCGATCGATCTCCTGATCGATCTCTTTATCGATCCCACGGCTCATCAAACCGTCCACTAATTCGGGTATCTCTCTGGTGTAATCTTGACTATTTCTGGATATTCCTCCTGTAGAGGGACACGCCCGACCTACGACGAGCTCGACGCCCAGCAGGCTACCAGCCTCCTTGCGAGACGGTAGGGCTCAAAAGCCCAGCCCGCAGCGCGCGGCGCGAAGGGCAGCGCCCGGGGCAAAAAGGCCCAGAGGGCGGGGCAGCATCGAATCGGGATACCTCGGAGACCTCGGAGGTCTGGCGGCTCTAGAGGTACACGGTTTCCCCCAGGGCCGTAGGCGACCCGAGGAGGAGGAGGAGGAGGAGGAGGAGGAGGAAGAGGAGGAGGAGGAGGAGGAGATGGAGGAGGAGGAGGAGGAGGAGGAGGAGGAGGAAGAGGAGGAGGAGATGGAGGAGGAGGAGGAGGAGGAGGAGGAGAAGGTCTAGCTAGAGGGCAGAAAGTCCACCCCCATAATGATCACCCCGACTCGCGAAGCCATTCAGCAAACGCACACACGGAAGGAATCGAACAGGGCATGGGCTGTTCAGTAAACGCCCAGGGCCGTATAGTAAACGCCAATCGTCGGGTCTGGGTGCGTTTTCCTCCCTTGACTAGCGGCTCTGGATCGGGGAGACGTAAGACTCGGGTACGGGGGACTCGGGTTGGCCTGACGGGGCCATCATGAAAATGACGAGACTAAATCTGAAATTTGACGCGAGCTCCCGCTGCAGGCATCCCACGAAAACAAGACCGTCAAAATCCAGGACGCGATCGGCAATAAACGTCGGCAAACCCGAGTTCTGGCTTACTCGAGTCTTACGTTTCCCTGACTGGAGGATGCACGCTCGGCCCGTATCAGAAGGACGCGCGATGATAGGGGAACGAAGAATGACACAAGCATAAAGACTCGGAGGTCCGCGCGGATTTCTCGGATCGGGGCTGACCCCCCCTGGCGCGCGGAGCGCGCCAGGGGAGGTCCAGCGCGAATCCGAAAAATCCGCGCGGACCTCCGAGTTGTTATACTTATGTCTGTCTTCGTTCCCCCACTGCAGGATGCACAGTCGGCCCGTATCATAAGGACGCGCGATAAGGATGCAGCGGCCTTCGACGCCCATTCCCAAGCTTTTCGAGCCGTTCGCGACCGACGAAAGCGGCCAAGGACGGACCGAGGAGGCAAGGATGCAAGGGTACCCTTGGGAAGGTTGCCCATCCTTACTGGGGAAACCAAAAGGTACTGATACCTCTACTCCCCGGACCTATCACAGGGTGCGTTCTGACCAGAATTTCGAAGCGAACCCAACGGTGGCAACAAGGGCCTCCGAGGCCGAAAAGAGGAAAAAACGGGCGAAGGCCGGCGGTATCGGTACCTTTTCCTCCTCTGACTTACTATGCAGGTTGACTGTAGGCACTGTAGGGTGCCAGGGGGAAGGTGGCCCATCCTTACTGTGCAGATTGACTGCATCGAGCGCCGCGGCCGTGCGAGCGAGCGCTCCGGGACGCTCCGGTTGAGCGCCCCGGCAACGCGCGCCCTGGAGCGACCTACCCCGATCCTGGACCTGTCTTGTCTGAGCGCCGCTGGCACGGAGGAGGTGGATGGAAACAGAACGGTGACCATGACCAAGACTGAGAGGAGGAGGAGGAGGAGGAGGAGGAGGAGGAGGAGGAGGAGGAGGAGGAGAAGGAGGACCTCATCATCCCTTCTCCCCCGTCTCACATGTGGTAGTGGTGGTGGAAAATGGACCCATCGTGGAGGGAGACGAAACGGTGACCATGACCAAGACTGAACGCGGCAACGGCAGT